TTAGACAGTTTATGGTAGAACTCGTCCTTCACTTCATCCGAACTACAGTCAGTGGGTGCGTAAGCAGAGATTACAAAGAGACAACGGCGAGTCTCACTATTCCTTTTAGTTCTCACTGTGCCGTTCAGCCTCATAGCGCAGAGGCGACTATCAACTGGGATCCAGTCTAGTAGTGAGTTTTCTGCCCTGGTGCTTAATGCTATACCTACACCTGCAAGACCACGAGAGCTAGCTATCGAATCTCCAGAAACTCGAAGGGTGAATTTTGCAGATTCACCAGATTGGTCAGGAGAGGTCAGGTGAATAACCACACTTGGGTCCTGTATGCGTGTCTCACAAACACAGCACACATCCATGCCCGAGTTGCTAGAGTCTTTGCCAACGAAGCCTGTTGGCCAATTTGACGGAGGGTGCGGACATTGAAGGCTCCAATATGTAATTTGGAGCGTGGTTTAAGGAGACCAGGGATGCTGTTCTGTGGACTCAGATCGTTGTCGAAGGCTGCAGAGGTAGGAGAAATTGAAGATGATGCAGCATCATTAATTAAGAGACGTGAAGGAAGATTAGAAGGTAATGATGGAGGAGGAGGATAGCAGTCAGAAGAAACTTGGGTGCTGACAGAGTTGTGAGGGCGGTTGACACTTCCCGGCTGCCCACACCGTGGAAGGCTATTTCTTCTTAAGGTACCTGAAAGAGATTTGTGTGACCGCAGAGCCCATCGGACATCTGCTTGAGGCCTGTCACACGAAGCCTTTTGAGTATGATTATTTTGAACTTTTGTATCAGCATCAGCATGGCACTAATGGTCATCCAAGGGAAACACCTTACTGCTGTCACACCCCATCCAGCTAGCAGCAGTACGACATCGCCCTCAGACCCCCGTCATAGTGTAGCAATTTACACTATAACGGTAACTGCTTTTCGTCTAACCACTATCCAACAGACCTTTCTGGTATGGTAGGACCTCGAGGAAACAAGCGTCCCACCAGCATAGCTCGTTGGGTCATTGTGATATGCATGCCCTACATTTTGTTAACGTCTTCACCTGACATAACAATATCGTCTGCGAAACATGCCCACTGAGTCATAGAGAAGAGATAATTCAGCGAAGAAAATTTTCTTCTCCGACGATATCATTTTCTAAAGCTGTACAATCGTATTTACATATATGATAAACATATAACAGTCCATTATAAAACAATAGGGTATAATTACATCCCTAACCAAGTGCTACGAAAAACTGAATCAAGAATGCAAAGTAGTTACGTAATAATCTATGACAGTAGAAATATCGAGGAAGGTGAGTAGTTTGACAAGGTGAAAATTGTTGGCAGATAAGAAACGCGAATATCGAGTGTCCACTTGAAAGATAGGTGTAAAGAAGGTGAAGAATGAGACAAGGGTCATAATGAAGTGATAATAATAAACTAATTAATTATAATGAAATCAAAAAAAATGAAAGTGTTAAGACCATGGTAAGATGAGAGACTGAACATACTTCTTTTGCACGCAGAGATCAGGCTTGAATTGATGAATTGCCAGTGCCTCCGCTGTGCACAACTGTCGAAGGCGCACTCCTTTTGAACAATTCTATCTGACGCGACAAATGACATTGAAAGAAGATTCTGGTCTAGCTTTATGTCCAGAGTTGACCAAATGTTCAGGAATTGATTTAGTTGATTTACATTCTCCCCTCGACGACTATGCAGGATAGTGCTCCGTGATACGTTTGGAAAGCGTGCGCTTTGTGCGGCCAATGTAACTAGCTCCACAGGAGTAAGTACATTTGTAGACACACATCGAGGTGGCCCAAAGTGGTAACTTGTCCTTAACGCGTTCCGGAATGAGTTGTCTACTAGAGAAGCTGATCTGCAGTTTTGCAGAGAAGAATGCCTTCTTCAGTGATCTGGACAGCCGATTCTTCAGGATCTCTGCTGCCGTATCGCCTTGGAAAACAACGTTCATAAACAAGGTCCTCTTAGGAACTGTAAGTACTCGCTCCGTATTCCGATTTACTTTCAAGTTCTTATCGATAATCTGGATGGATATCCATTTTGCATGAGAATATTTCGTAGTTTATCTAATTCTTCGTCAATAGTATCACTGGTGCAGATTCTTTTGATTCTTGGAGATAAAGAATGGATTAGATTCCTCTTCCTGCTGAGAGGCATCCAACTGTGGAAATTCAAGTATTGTCCATTCCAAGTAGGCTTCCTATAAATTGATCGCTGAAGAGATCCATCTGGCCTCCGTTTCAATAAAATATCGAGAAAATGAAATTCCGAGTTTTCCTCAAATTCTGATGTGAAGCTGATCGATGGGTGACAATCATTGAACGTTTTAACTACAGCCTCAATATTTGTATTTTGATCGATTATGATGAAAGTGTCATCCATATATCTTTTATAGAGGTAGAAACTACCAGTTGATGTAATTATACCCTATTGTTTTATAATGAACTGTTATATGTTTATCATGTACATAAATACGATTGTACAGCTTTAGAAAATGATATCGTCGAAAAGAAATTTTTCTTCGCTGAATTATCTCTTCTCTATGACACAATATCGTCTGCGTTCACCAAGTCAACCCGGTGACCTTCAGGGGTGATATCAGTCTCTTTGAAGTCAGAGGTACCTAGGGAAGCGTATATTAGTACATCTGTACAAAGGTGAACAGGAACGGTGACCAAGGGCAACCCTAGCGGACACCACTAGTTGACAAATCAGTTTAAAACTCTGAAAGCCTTTAAACGGCAGTGTTGAAGTAAGAAGGTCTGATTAGCATTACACACTAGCTCAGTACCCCTTTAACGGTCAGACATTACCACAACATTTCACGGTCGACAGAGTATAGTGTCACCTTCAAGTCAAAAAATACGACATCGGCAGATGATAGGTTATCTTGCATCCTAGCACCTGTCAGAGGGTGATACAACCGATGCATCCTCGTCCAGATCTGAACCCGCCTAGTTTCCTCAAATTTGCTGTTTTCGAGCGCCATTCAGGCGTCGGACAACTATGGACCAATGTACCTGGGACGCCATTTAATTTAATGATTCTCCAATAGTTGTCACAGGAAGACTTCTCTTACTTCTTACAGGTCGAAATGAAAGGTGAATTAGACAAGTCTAACAGGACTACCTCGGATTCTCATACACTACTGAGCACCCTCGTTACTCTAATCACCAATTTCCTACCTACATCCTTAAAATTTCCTGGTGAATAATCATGTTCTAAAACCTTGCATCGTTACAAAGAGCTTCCTCAAGTTAGACGATAGTTGATTACGCAAGGACAACAAGGCAGCTTCACTCAGTATTTCCTGCAGTAAGACATTAGTTGAGGAGCAATCTCTTGCTCCGAAAGCTATGCGAAGTCTTTCGATATCCATATTACTTCTGCTTATAAATGAGACTAAACCAACATAAATGTCCTCGCAGACCAAACAACCACTTTCATTGGGTGAAGCAAGAATCAGCCCAACCAAGTGACTGCAAAAGTGGATGACACCTCAGTTGCGAGGCGAAGAATCCCCACACACTCTCCCACCCACTTAAGGAATGACGCAACTAGGGACAGAGCAGACCCACGCTTTTGATTTGCTCACAATTTCCCCAAAGCGCTAAGAAGCAAGGCTCAGCACGAATACCCTTAGTGTACGTTGACTGTACAGGTAAAGGAGGTAGGTGAACAGCATTTAGGTAACAAGGTACATAGCTTTGAACCTGAGGTAAATTTAGCATTTGGAGTGGTGGGAGAAAACCAAACCGATAGAAAACTCCGAGACACCCTGGCAGTCTACTGAGGCGGCGACGACGACGAACAAGTTTATTCGGCGTCCGACCAGCGATGTGAACATAGTACCTAGTGTAGGGAAGTCATTGGCTCCAGCTAAATACAGGACACCTGCACAACTCCCTTTACTCTACGCAACTCACATTTCAAAACCTTTATCTGATGCACGACGCTCATTTCAAACTTGGTATTGTAAAGGCTTATTAGATGACGAACCTACCAAGACTGGAGTTAGTCACCATGGTGCTGTTAGCTGGCTGTAGTATGCTGATTCTCATCCACGACTTTCGATCGATTTATCCGGTCAGAAATGACGTGCCTTATTCGCTAGTTGACTCAGATAACCTAATTAAACCATCTTCCAAATGAGTGGGTTCTGACCACCGCCAGTCTAGATGTATTTCAGCACCTATGGTTAAACACCCAACTAAAAAAGAAAACCAGGCATCACTTGTGGAACATCCAATTTACTAGCTAGAAACAAGACACCTTAACCACTAGAGAGTAACTTTTTACATGCAAATACTATACACGACTAATACCGAATTCCGCCTGATAGATACCAGGAATATAAATGAAGCAACCGGCGACTTGATTTGGTGTAGTCAACGAAATACGAACTCACCACCTTTATGAACTGCGATGCCAAAGTGCAGTAGCGGCTTACGGTCTGTTGTTAGTCTATAAATAGGAGGAAAGCAGTTGACAACTGAAACCGATGATAGACATATATTCAAACAAATGAGTAAGATGTTTGTTACATCCATCAACCGTATCAAATTCGGCTAGCCCCTGGAGAAGCAGTAGTACATCTTGTTTAGTTTCACAGGCATGACAGCACTTGACTGACTTAACATTGCCGCTGTCGCTTTAAGGTTAGCTCAGCAAACAAGGAAATATACGTACGTGAACTTTGCAATTAAATTCAAGTCCGTCCTCATATTTGAATGTTGATAATCCTCGCCAGAGACTTTGTTTCATAACAGCTGAGGTGGTTGCATCTGCTTTATAGGCTTTATAGGAACGTGGATGCAATCTGTGACCAGCGAGAGACAAGGATTGACAGCACAGTACCACGATAACTTCAATGCCTGGCCAAGGGATGTAATGATTTTGTTACGAATTGAACAGAAATTGGCTGTTGAATACTTGCATTTGAAATATAGACAGGATTAGAAACAATATACAGGTAAATACAAGTGTTCAGCGGTCTTCCATGTAACTAGATATTTCCATAACATCTGGGAGTTCACTAATATTAACTTCGAAACGGTTTTGAACTTCATTGAGGACTTTGGCATCCAATTCGTCTGATATGAAAGTAATAGCCAGTCCTTTTGTCCCGAACCGACCTGCTCTAGCAACCTAAACAGGATTACTTCACTATGAAAGCTCAACTCACCCTATGTAAGTACGTATCCGAATCTTCTGGCATATCGTAATTGAAGACAATATTGACACGTTCGATATCCATACCGCGACCGAAAAGGTTGGTGGCCACCAGGAGACGTTTCTGGAAGTTTTTGAAGGCTTGATAACGCTCCAAGCGCTCTTCTTGTGCCATGTTCCGATGCATAGCAATAGCAGGGAAGTTTTGATCCACCAACAACTGAGCTAGAGCCATGCACCTTTGTACTGATTTGACAAAGATTATAACCTTTAAAGACAAACATCAACACTTTTAGAGAAAAACTTATCAGAAAAACAAGCAATTAAACGCATATGCTCAGGCGAAAGCCCACATAGGTATTAGCATGGCGAACATCATTGGAGTTGACATACCTGGTTGAACTGTAGCTCATCAAGGAGTTCGAATAGCTTCCTATTCTTCTCATTTTCCTTGACTTTTACATAGTGCTGTCGAAGGCCGTGTAATGTCAACTTTGAATCATTTTCGATAAATATTTCTAACGGCTAAAAATAAAAAGGTGGTAAGTGCCAAGTATGCGGTAATGAGAAACCACGGGCGTATTACATGGACAAAACATTAATCAATCATTAAGAAATAGTCAAACTGCCTGTTTTTGGATTCTCCACCTGGCCCATACGAACGCGTTTGGCAAGCAAATGCGAACCACATCCATGCGACCATCTGGCACAATTCAAGATCGGACGATGAGTCCTCGAACGTTCCAGAGCAAATGCTAGCTGATACGCTCATTGTCCGTGAGGACAAATCATGTCACAATTGTTATCTGGTAGTGTTGATATGCAAGTCATCTTGGCAAACGTTAAGACCAGCTCAGGTGGGAATGTGTATGGAAACAAGATAACTCCGCCAGATATTGCAACAACGTACGTCTTGCATGAAGTTTCTGCACACAGGACGGATTTCTTTGCTCATTGTTGCACTGAACATCATAACTTGTTTCTGATGTGGAGTCATGCGGAATATCTCTTGCACATCACGGCGCATATCTAGTGAAACGTAAGTCAATTGTGAGAAATCCTACCGAGCGTATCCAGCATTTTATCACATTCGTCGATGATGAAATGCTTCACATGTTGCAGCTTCAGTGTTTTGCTCCTAACCAGATCCAGAATTCGACCTGGAGTTCCGACGACAATATGGACTGGAGATTTTGTCAGGGTTTCAATGTCCTTGCGTATTGGCATCCCACCAAAGAATACACCCACCTTCAGGAGAAACTTTTAGAGAAACTAGTGACCTACCTTTATCTTAGGCATGTATTTGGAGAAACGCTCATATTCTTTACTGATTTGGAAAGCAAGTTCTCTTGTATGACACAGGACCAGTACACTTGTGTTGGCTTCACCTTCGGGATCCAGTTGTTGAAGGGTGGCGATCACAAAAACTGCAGTCTTCCCCATACCAGACTTTGCTTGGCACAGCACGTCCATACTCAGAATTGCTTGGGGAATACACTCATGTTGAACCTCTGATGGATGTTCAAAGCCGCAATCAACAATGGCCCTCAACAGCTCTGGTTTGAGGATGAAGTCGCGAAAACCCGAACTGTGGATGGTGACATAGGCACCCTTTACACCTTTCTTAGTAGCAGATTCGCCATTAGGTCTTGTCTCTTGAACAGTCTCTTGTTCCTCATCCTCGTAATCCAAAAGTTCAGCCTCATCCGCCATGAAAATAGACCCTCTGTATACAACAAGCAGGCTGATAATGGCGGCTGCCTGAAAACTAAAACAACTTGAAAGTCTCCGATGTCCAACGACGATATAATAATACATTTTGCAGGAAAGTTGTTAAAACCTGGGTTTATAAAAAATAACCTATCCATAAACATTTAAATCCCTACTGCTATCAAAAGTACTACTCATGCAAGCACACAGAAGAACAGTATTTCATATGCTGCGTATTTGACTTTGGTTGTGCATTGAATCTCAATAGCTGCACTGCTTAACTTCAACTGATAGCCGTTCAGTTGGAAATGGGTAATAAAAGCGACTTTGTCATGCGCTACAAGAGCATAGTCTTCTGTGTTTGTCGTCATTTCTTATAGTCCATCGGTGCTTCAGCATTCTTGTTTTGGCTTTATATTTCACATAATTTTCTTCAGTTTCAGAAGTGAAGTTCGTCGTAGTGGTCAGAAAACCCTTGTTAACTACTAGTTGCAACCTCTTTATAACAGGTGCCGGCGGCATCACATCACAAAGTGAAGAGTTTGCGGGTCTAAAATACCCTTACTAGCCGGTAATGACCATATTACAGTTATGTTTACGTAAAAAACACAAAATTTGTTTTTTGAAAAAATTCCCTGTCTTCCAAATGAAGCTTAAGCCAACATGCTAGAGATATAGGAGCGCACCATTTCGACTGATTGGTCTCTCGATGTAAGTTGTTCGGTAGATAAAGCTTAAGAAGGGTTTACGATTTTATTCATGCAACATTACTGTCTATTCCTTCGTCTACTCCTTCAGTAAGTCGTCATGTATTACTTTTGGTCTGCACGCCAACGTCACACTCCACGAAGAAGCATTGAATTTTTTTTCTCCAGCTTAAATCAACTATTTGTAAGCTTATATGATGAAGACGGTCACCCAGGAATCAATGGAGGATCTCTGATAGCGTGAGCGACCTGAAATGTTATAAGGTCGTTCCTAAAAGTCAGAGGTGACAGAGCAGACTGCCGGGCATATACACGTAGAGCACTGCAAGGGAACCATAGGCACTGTACTCATAGATGAAAAAGAAGGGTATCGTTTCATCTAGTATACAGAACCATCGTACTTGTGATTTCCCAAACAATCTGTGAAGTTGCTGAATTGTTAGCTGAGGAACTTCAAAATAATTTATGTCAAGTGCAGTGATACCACAAACCGGATGGTCACGCATTATCCAGGGTGGTTGAGTTTTATAGAATATGAGCCCGTTAAAATCAGGGAACATTCAGAAAATTAAGACTAAGCCTAGTTAGTACTCGGGAACGGATGTCATTCATCCTAGAGTGCTCAAAGACGGTGGCGATATTCTATGCTACTGGAAGACCTCTTAAGACATTTCCAGAAGATTGGTCTCCCTTTGACCGGAAGCAAGGTTCTGTTGTCCTACTACATGAAGGTGGCAATAAACTGCTCACCTTCAAAGATTAATCAATCTTCTTGGTGTCTTCAGCTGCAGCGGCTATGGAAAGAGTAGTAAATGGTTCATTTCGGATTTATCTACCCTGGAACCCAGTCGTAGCGGGCTATCAACGTAGACGTTTGACAGAGCGTCACGCGACACCAACCTTTTGATGTCACAGAGTATTCGGTCTCTCCATTGAGCGGATAAAGATCATTCATATTCGGTTACTCGACCCTTCTCAAGCCTTCGGTAAGGCTAACCACTATATCCTCCCAAGAAACTTCAACTAATGGGGCACAGGTGAAACTACTAAACTGGTCTAGTGTCAACCTTGACAGCCGGTTACAATCAGTGGGATAGAACTCCTTTTTATCTAAAGGGTTTTGAAAGCTGAGTGGGGGGGCATCGGGGTCCTATTCCTTTTCCATCATTGTTTCTTGCAGTTAAAAATTACGTCAGCAAGTTTAACTTTTCACTCACCATTGTATGGTGGTAACCTCAAGATCTGGAACGAGATGCAGGAGTCAACAGATATCTCGGCTTCACGTGAACAACTTTTTAAAATCGTAAATTTTACAGGTGAGAACCTGCTCCTCCCCAACCTGAGAAAGGTCTAGGAATTACTCCGGGTGGCATACTTGGAGCTCCACTTCGGTGTCGCCCTTCAGTCAACAAAGTATACCGGGGCGCGTGATTTCTGTCGCGTATTCTAATGAGTCTAACCGTAGGTCTTCCTGCTGCAATGTGTGGACTACATAATCATCTTAAACCTTGGTAACCATTTGCCAGTTATTTCAGCGCACTGGAGGGAAGACTTTGCCGTCCCCGAAGGGCAACGAAGGAAGTGATTGGGCTACGGTGCAAACTTTTCAGACTCACAAGATGGCGCAATACGGGAGGGATCAGAGAGAGTATGACCATGGTTTGTCAAGCCACCCATACTCCTCTTCATCCAAACCGACCACTCTATTGCTTTGATCGGAAAAAACAACGAACGAGTATGCTCAAAGATCCATACAAATTCATTTGCAGTTAGAGCACGTTAACTGTGGAATTCCATCTCCTTTTCGTGATGCTTCGGGGGAGGTTTGACGCACATACAGAGTTCCTTGTTACAGATGGATTGAAGGAACCACCCGCCGTCTTGCAAACAATGGATGGCATCATTACCTAAACCGCGTTAACTAATTAACTGATTATCTCCATCCTTGCAGATTTCTTTGGTCCCACTGAATTAGACGTAGGGCCCAAGGAGCCATTGTCTGCTATTTTAGTGACATGAAGTTTGAATTTTTAAAGGTCGTTAATGGGTGACTATTTAAAAGTACTATGAACGCCTGTTCTCGCACGCCGTGAGGACTATAAAAGGTGAAGGGATCTCTGTTTCGTTACCATGTAGATGGGGCAAAAGATCTGGTGGAAAGGGAACTGGCTAGAGGGAATAATTTTCCCAACTACTGTAGTCTGTTTTTGCCTGCTGGAAGCCCCAACGCGATTCAGGATACTGATGTTGTTGCTAATGTCGCCCCAAAGAATCCCGCTGAAATGGCTGTGGAGACAGTTTGCCAAGTGCTCACAAATCTGCGGCCTAGAAAACTGCCTGCCTGAGATGCGTCACACCTTAGGATGTCACGGCTTCCATTGGGTGAACTGTTGGTGCGCGACTAGTTTTACTACTTACCATGCCATAAGCCCAGGCGAATCTCCGCGAGAAGTGAAAGAATGCCATGGTTAGTCCTTTGTTCAGCCGGGATAACAGACAATAGCTAAATACCAACTAAATACGCTCGTCAACGGATGATGTGGGAGCTATTTTAGACTGCCCAAAGTCAACTGGTGTGAAGCAGCTTAACACCTTCACTATACTGGTAAGAACTCACCGAAGGCTTGTTTCCACCCGTGCCTCTGTTAAGTGACCGTTGGCAGATCTGCTTCATATAAATGTGAAATGTTCGGGTGCGGACACGGTGGCTAAACTTGCTTCTCTAGAGTCGGGAAAGCCTTTTCGAAAGTAACTTCATTTATGTGTTGTGTTCTCAGTGCCCCTTTGACCATCGTTGTCAACCCATCTGGTTCAGAAATCCAATTCATTCTGCGGCAGCTGGCTAAAGATCGGCCCCTTTATCGAGTTGGCTGTGGGAGGCAGAGACAGGACAGGGTATGCTTGGTAACGAATCCCTAACTATATGCTCTTTCATGCTCCGCCCTTGGCACTCAGTTGAGGATTCTGACCGAGACTCTTTTGAGGATAATAAACCACCTACCATCATTTCAGTCTCAGAAAGCCGTAAATATTCCTCGTCTGAGTCGAAACACCTGGACTACTTTCTTCACCTGACTTCTACTATTCGTCACGCATCTCTATCGAGTAGTTCCGTGGCCAACGCACTAACTCAAATACCTTCGACAAGCTCCGTCAAAAGTGCCGATTAGGGTGGCTCGACCCGTCTTTGATACCTCCATGAAACTTGTTTTACAAAAAACGTCACACTCACATACCCGCCGCCATGCGTTCGTTGACAGAGCGAACCGTCTCATGATAAATCATTCAAACGTTAGGCAACACGAAAAATTAAGTGTAATCGATCGAAGAAGACGAGTAGATCCTGTAAATATCGAAATTTTGAAGCCAGCTTTTTTCATGCGGCATGCTTACAGCAACGGTCCTCCCTGAAATAGCTTGCTGCATGATAATCCAATCGTTACGCTTCTCCATTAACCACCTGTGGATATGAAAATGGCAGTATTTATCCTTGAATATGCTTGTACACACCGTTTGTACAGGCCTGAGTAGATATTTGTAATAAATTTCATTTTGCTCGTTGCGGGCGATGATGATCACCCAATGCGCCACTGGAGGATAAAGGTATTGTATGTTGGTAAAATGTGGTGCGTCAATAGCAGAAGTACACAAAGGATGATGCAATGGAAATATGGAAGTATTGGCCTCGCAACAACAGAAAGTGAAAGTATGTTTCCATGCAATTCGCTTGCTATTTGGAGAATAATAAAGCCCAGAGCTGATACTTGTGTCACAATGCTAATGCTAAATTTCTTGCGAATAGTGGTGAAATATTATCGAAGACGTGCATGAATACTGTTTTCCTTCACCGCTGTTCAGTGAATGCAGCACTGTGAATTTCATTTATTCGCTTACGAGTTCACAGCAGATAGTGAAAACTTTTCAGCAAGTTATGACTGCAAACAAAATATCCACGTTTTCCCACTTCATCTAAGTGTAGGAGGCTTGTTTCAATGTTTTTAACGTCTGTCCAGCTAAATGTGACTGCTATGTTTGCCATTAGTAGCAACCTTATAGTTGGTAAGCCGGGTAGTTTTCCTTCCACTTTAGCATTCAGTTTAATGTTTTAATTATTATTAGGTTGTCTTTCGAGGGCTTTCATGGCTTTCTACGCTTATTGGTTTTCTGTTGCGGGTGCAATGACTCTGTCCGACTAATTGCCGGGTAGATTGCTACCATGTTGCATACTAGTGCACATAAGCCATTAGATAAAACTGTAGATTTATTCAGCTGTGGCCCTGTACAGTTGATGGGTTT